GAGAGAGAGAGAGAGAGAGAGAGAGAGAGAGAGAGAGAGAGAGAGAGAGAGAGAGAGAGAGAGAGTTGTCATATTCGCTATACACTCAAAAAAGCATGACTGTGCCAAGCATGTGTGTGTGTGTGTGTGTGTGTGTGTGTGTGTATGTTTCGTCGGACTTTCACTGACTCGTCAGGAGGTTGAACCCCGACAGTCAGTCTGCCCAGGATGCATTTGACTGATGGATGTGTGTGTGTGTGTGTGTGTGTGTGTGTGTGTGTGTGTGTGTGTGTGTGTGTGGTTTTAGATTTTCCCCACAAGAGCCCCAATTCCACCCAGATGAATAGATTCAGCATCAAATCAGTCTTTGTCCTATCGCAGACGACGAGAGCATTTGAGATGTCCAACATATTAAGGCAATTTTATAATCAGACAGTTTTTTGGTTGTCCTTGGGGTGGTACCCCTTTCATTGTTCTTGCAGCTCCCCTTTTACTATGCCCCTTACGCACAAAGCTGGCCACGTTGATTGTGGTAGAGCGGCAGCTGCCCACATCCCCGTGTGCCTTCACGGCCCACGTACACGTTATTTCAGGAGGCAGAGTAAAAGGGAAGGTATGCTCCTGTGCATTTCTCTAGGGCTTCGTACTCCTGTTCATTTCACTTCAGATCTTCAACTTATACAGTCTTTGTGTCCGCCCATCATCTTCATACTTCCGATCATTTCATTTCGGATCTTCATATCGTCTGTTCTCTTAATGATTCTCATTCGTATGTATTTGTTAGTAGCACAAAGGGAGTGGAGGGGAGGGTGGAGGGTAAGGGATAGAAGGCGGAATTCTATAGGAGTATGGGGCAGGGGAGGTAGGGGCAACGGGAAGGAAGGAAATATGTGGAGGGCAGGATAGAGTACGTACGACATGCAAAGAGCAGGGGAGAGATCTATGACGGGCTTCACAGATTTCTAAATATTCACCGCTGAAAAAAAAAAAAAAAAAAAAAAAAAGTTATGGCGAGTGGCCACCTCTACAAACCGGACAGGACCGGTTCGGGTGTGGGCTATGGAAGCACCGCATCCAATTTCCGCAGTCACAGTTGCTGCATCGAATGGCACGGCGCAGACAGATGTCACAGGGTACGTGGCCCCTACATGCTAGTAGGAACACAGACTCTGAGGCACGTCGGCCGCAATTGTAGAGGCATTGCCGTTCCAGCCCCTGTCTACAAATTGGACATGACATGTCGGGGTGCCGTACATGAGTACAGTACTGACTGTCATCTTACATATGGTAGCAAAAACTCACAAGTATCCCTTCATAATCCTCACGGCGCAAGGCATGCGAACCACATGCTAGTTGGATCTCCGGCGGGTCATCACAAAGCGGCATGGAGCATCTTTCTTGGGCTTCCTCAGTATGTATTCCTTCTCTATGGGCAGACAACGACAGGGAGGATCGGTCCAACGCAAGGGCGTTCAGCTGCTGCAGGATATGATCCACAACAGCTTGCCCTGGTGGTGATAAACTATGAGCACATCGCTCTGCCGGTGGTTCATATAGAAGTCTATTTTCCTCATCGGACTGCTGTGTCCGTCGTTCGTTTTGCAAGAAAGAGGGAGATCCGTCAGCGGTTGCCGTAGGTGTATGACCAACACAGCATGTGGGACATGCTAGGAGAGCATGTGGAGGGTGATGGCACCGGGGATAGTCCACGCAGTAAAGACACATACTTTCTATGACAGCTTCCTGGAAGCATTGACGACACATGGCATTAGTATGGAAGGCCGGCGTGCACAGTTATTTAAGCATGGCAGATCACAGTCTGCTGCTTTGTAAGTCAGCATCAGACTGTGCAATGCACTGTCTGTTGCACACACACAGGATACACACACACACACACACACACACACACCCACACCCACACACCCACACACACACACAATGAAAGCCCTTGAGTTTAGACAACCCAACAATGAAACAGTTTTGCCTCTGTAGCAAGCAACATGAAGCTCAATGGGAGCATGAAAAACCGTTTCTTGAACGTGTGTCTGTGAGTATGTGTGTGTGTGTGCACCAGACAGTGCATTGCACAGCTCGCTGCTGTCTGAGTGCGCACTCAGACAGCAGCAGACTGTGCAACACACTCAGTCTGTCTGGTGAACACACACACACACACACACACACTCAGACACGTCGCCACAGCAGCCCTCAAAACATTGCTGGCGACTGGTACCGGCCCAGGCGAACCCCTGTTCACAGGCCTCGAAAACGAGTTCTCTCGAACGTGCTTGCACCCCTTTCGTGCGAACGGGAAAGGCCACAAACACGTTCGCCGTGCTTTTTTTTTTTTTTTTTTTTTTTTGGGCGGGGGGGCGGCGCGGGGAGGGACAAGGCTCCAATCTATTCGTGGGAAGCAGCACGTGCTGGGAACCGGGCCCAGCGTCCCATATGGAAATTTACATAGAATTTTGAAAGTTTGAGATACCTGGGCCATTACCTGGCTTTGGCTAAAACATTTTTGAGCTACTTAGAAAATTAGTATGACAAACTTCAGAAGAGAGGTCCACCCACAACAAAACACGCCACCACAGAGGTCCTACAAACGCTCAAAACCCTCAGAATCCCTAGCAACCCTTCTAAAGCTCTCCAGCACTGTCTTACTCCGTGCCGAGCCATGTTACGCGGGCCTGATCATCTATTTGGATTGGAGACAGAACCTACCACGCCTCTAACAATCTAAAGATGCAGATTGAACTTAGACACACAACTATTGAACAAAATTGCTACATGAAATGTCACAAAATGCAGAGTTGCTATCTATTGGCTATATAAGAACCCTACAGTTTTCATAGCCAGAGGCTCTGAAACCACGAATGAGAGCAAAAAAAAAAAAAAAAAAAAAAAAAAATCGCTCATTGCTCAAAACAAGCTTTTCCTAAAAACAGTCACTGTTATGACCTCCCA